ACACACCACCCCCTGCGAATGCAGCAAAAGCCACCTGAACACCACTTCGCGGCGAATGCAACACACACACACACACACCCCGATTGGACAACACTTGAGCTTGTCCCAGGTGCCTACAAAAGCAGCTGCCAGCACTATTTTACGAACTCGCAGGCGCGACCGGACACCAGCCCTGACTTCGTTAACGGCCACTGCCGCCTAAGTTGCGTCTACAGAGTCGCAACTGCCTATACGTCACTTGAACACACCACCAACCTCCGCAATCAGCAACATCAGTCACCACCTCTCGGTAAGTGCGACGCACACACACACACACACACCGATTGGAAACCATTCGCGTTCGGACCACCGGCCTGAAAAGAAGCTGCCACCACTCTCTCGGGGACTCTCCGCCATGACTGAACGCAGTCAATACCGGCCGCTGTCGCCTGAGAGGACAACTCAGGGTTGTATATATAATAAACCGAAAGAAATAAGCTCTTTGGGAAAGATAAACAAGTTTTATTGTAAATTTTCGATTTTGGTTCCCCAAGTCGTCTTCAGACGTGAAGTAAGTGTGCAAAACATTTAACATTTAAACATGCCGAAAAAATCGATTTTGCCTTGCCACTCCTGCTGGTGTAATGTTCTCATTGGCTAACGCCTCTTCCACTTTTCCTTGAGGTTGTTGTACACCGTATTCAATTCTACGTGGCGACTGATGCATGCGCTATATAATAACCCCCTAATTCTGGGGACTTCTGTCTTCTCCTTACAAATCGGGACCTGACCTGATGATCACAGTGCTCTGTGTACGTTCTCACAGCTCAAACGCCACATACGTGGGGCGTCGGCCCATGTGTGACGAGCGTCACAATGAGGGCTTTACATCACGTCAGCGCTGCATTAAACCTCATCCTCAGTCGGCTTGACTCGGCCAGAACACTGCAATATGGAGGAAGGGACAGAATAAGGTTAGTCCTGATCGGATTCAGTGCTTAATCCCATTTTTTGGACAATCAAGCGATCGCTACTGGCTAGTAGTTGTGCCCCTGAGGGTTGCCAAGTGATTAAATAACTCAGTCCTATCCAGAATTGAAAGTCAAGCTGCAATGGTTCCTCCTTAATTTGGCCTGTATGGCATGTCTTTTGGGAGAGAGAGACCCGAGGTCCCCTCTCCATTCGAGCCTGATCCGTATTAAACTAGAGATCAGGCTGCGTGTAGCACGCGTAGACGGTTTATTTGCTTTTGTAAGAAAACGTCCGTCACCGGCATCCGTGGGCTTATCGTTTCATCGTATTGTGTCAGGTGCGGGTATATTTGGTGAAGTAGCGAGCTTCACAAGCTTATCTCACTTTAGACACACTCGCGCATATCACCACTGTGTCCTAGAGACAGCGACTGACACTTGCAGACGTAATAAAACGTCCGCCAGATCAGGCAGTTAATCAGAAAGCCCCAGTACCCTTGGTGGGGCGCATGCAGCGTTCTCAAATCTCTAAACTAGATTGCAGATCGAAAAAATCATTCCACTGGTCCCCTCTATACGCTGAGGGGACCTCCTTTTGTGGCACCTAAAACAGCATGGACTTCGATAAGTAAGAACCGGTAACTTTATATGCACCGTTTTGGCAACTGAAGAGGGCAGTGTCATGCCAAGTGCACGCGCCTAGATCCACGCAGTCGCTGTAGGTGGTTGACGTGTGGGTTCTTTTGGCTTGCTGGCTGAGTTGACATGGCGGCGCCATAATTCAGATAGGCACAAAAGTACTTTATTGCAGTCAGCGTGATGTGGGGGTTCAGGGCTGTGCAGAAACCCAGCAAGTAATCATGTGCCCGGACAGAAGGCATAATTTTTCTGTCTGTTGACAGCACCCTCATGAGTGTGCTCAGTCAAGTAGTTGAATACTTCGTGTTCTCAGTCTGTCTACAGAACCGACCTTAGGGATAGAGGGACGCTCACCGATCATTCCTACGGAACTCACTCGCCCCGCAGAGTCTTACAGGCTCTCTCTCGAGCCCAACCAGCAGGGGTACAGCGGCGCATGGTATAGGCAGAATGGTATTATCGAAAAAGACAAGGGAGACTGGAGTGGTCATTTCCGACTTATCAGCCGTCGTCAGCCAGGCATACCTAACCCTGAACCACTGCAACCCAGCCATCGGTCCACACTTCGGGGTTGGGTATGAATGGCTGACGACGACTAATAAGCCAGAAATGGCTATTCCAGCCTCCCTTGTCTTTGTCGGCAATAACATACCTGATCGGCGAGCGCCCACTGTCATAATTGATATTCCCGATCACAACCGACAGGACAACGGGCCCGTGGCTCAATGGTAGAGCGTCAAACTCCATGACCAAAGATCCCGGGTTCGAATCTCAAGTGATCCGCACTTGGGGTTGGGTATGACTGGCTGATGACGGCTAATAAGCCAGAAATGGCCATTCCGGTCTCCCTTGTCTTTGTCGGCTCCATTGCATCTATAATAACATACTGCCTATATATCATGCGCCGCTGTGCGGCTGCTGGTTGGGCTCGAGAGAGAGAGCTCGTAAGGCACAACGGAACGAGTGAGTCCCATAAGAACGATCGGTGAGCCCCCCCTACCATTGCACATCCCCGAGGTCACGTTGGACGACACCATCATCTCGTGCGACCACACAGATGCGCATCAAAAATTGTTCATCTGACTTTAATGCCAACTTTGGACCCTAGGCGAG